GAGGAGGAGAAGGAGGAGGAAGAGGAGGAGAAGGAGGAGGAGGAGGAGGAGGTGGAGGAGAGCGCCATCGACAAGGAAGGTGGGGGCCACGAGGTCCGCCAGCTCGACGACGCCCGCGTCGCCCGCGCCCGCCCCCTCACTCTTATCCGCAATTGCGGGGTGCTACGTTATTATTAGTATTATTATTATTGTTATTATTATTATTATTATTATTATTCGTAGTAGTAGTAGTAGTACTAGTAGTAGTAGTAGTAGTAGTAGTAGTAGTAGTAGTAGTAGTAGTAGTAGTAGTAGTAGTAGTAGTAGTAGTAGGAGCAGTAGTCGTAGTCGTAGTCCCGTTTGTGCAGTATCGTGTATTTCGTAAGTCGTAGTCGTAGTCCGTATCGTAGTAGTAAGTAAGTAGTAGTAGTAAGTAATAGTAAGTAGTAATGTAGTAGTAGTGTAGTAGTAGTAGTAGTAGTAGTAGTATAGTAGTAGTAGTATAGTAGTATTAGTCAAAGTCACTAGTAGTGGTAGTAGTAGTATTAAGTATTAAGTAGTAGTAGTAGTAGTAGTAGTAGTAGTAGTAAGTAGTAGTAGTAGCGTGCCCGGAACAAACAGTGTCCCACTACCCCATCTCAGCGCTAAGAATGACGCGACATCGAATTCAGTCGAACAAATATCCGTAGCCCCCGCCCCCCCCAACTCAAAGTTGGCGGGGTTAGCTGCGAGGCACCGCGCGAGGGACAAAATGTGGACACTTCAACTTTGAGTTTGGGTGGGGAGGGGGGCGAGTCACATGTAGATTGCACTTGTTGTTGCCATCATGTCTGACTGCCTTCTCGCCGTCGGTGTGGACACTTTTTGTCCAGGCACCGCCTGGGTAAGCAGGTTTTTATGGTTTCATGGATGTGGGTATATGAATTTATGTTGATGTTGTCCTAGTTTATGTTAGGTCATGTCGAAGGTGTGATATGTTGTTGGATTTGATGTTAGATATGCCGAAGTTGTTTTGTATAGTGACGCTTCGTATACGTTGACCGTTCAAAGACTTGTAATCATTTCGGCGTTTACCTCGGATGTTGTTCTCTTTTGTAGCATTCTTGTGGGTCTCTGAGGGCCCTCCTGGCTATCTTGGGGCCCTCATTGGCCGTCTCCACCTGGCGCACGCGTCGCACCTGGCGGGGACTGGGTCGGTGCACCTGGGATGTTGAAATATGTGATGCTCCAAGCGCCAGGATGACGTGAGTCCACGACCTGCGCGGGAACGCCGTAAAACTCGTACAACTTGTAAAACTTCCGCGTAAAACTTGCTGGCAAAATACGTAACTCGTAAAACTTGCCAGAGAGAAACCTTTTTGTACATTGAAAGTCTTCTTTCTTTATAAGTTTTACAAGTTTTACATATTTTCCCAACAAGTTTTAAGCGCACGTTGTACAAGCTGTACAAGTTTTAAGCGTTTCCCTGATGCGGCGCAACTGGCCATCGCGCGGCGCCCCCCCCCCCTCCCCCCACCAGGGGTCGGGCGGACCGCGCGAGAGCGGCTGCCCCATCGTCCTCGGGGTCGTCCTTGGAGGCGGGCGTGGCGGGCGCACCTGGAAAACTTGGAGCACTGCGCGCCTGGCAAACCTTGCTCACCTGGCGCGCGCGGCGCACCTGGCAGGGACTGGGGCGGTGCACCTGGGATGTTGGAATACATGATGCTCCAGGCGTCCAGATGACACATGTGCACGAAACTAACCCCCTCACATGACAATGGTGGTGGCATCGGCGTTGTCGATGGTGATGCTGGAGGCGCATGTGTTGACGCTGAAATTGGTGTGCGGGAGTCGTTCCGTAATAGTGGTGGTCACCACCTTCCGAGCTTCTTGAAAAACCCGCGCGCCCTTGGACAGGCGACGCGCCCCGGCAGGCCCGCGCCCCCCTTCCCTTTGCGTGGAGAAGTGCATGGAGCTGGTGCAACTGGCACAACCAGTTTTTTGCCGGACCTGATTTTTGGTTAGCAGTTCGTGGACCAAGTGCATGGCCAGTTCTACGACCAGTTCTGTCCAGTTGTACCAGTTCTGCGCGCGCAGAGGCATGCGACGGGGGCGCAGCGCCCTTGCTCACTCCTCGAAGTCCGCGCCCTTCGCGGCCAGCAACGCGGTGCAGCGCCGCTTCATGGACTTCACCAGTGGCTCAAGGGTGGCCGAGGGGACCCGCATGATGGAGCGCTTCAGGCGCCGAATGAAGGCGGCCCTGCTCTCCTTCTTGGACCGCGGGAACTTCGCCTCCTGGCTCCGCAGGCGCTTATTGATCATGGACCAGAAGCCGCAGTCAAGGGGGTTGAGGTCTGGGCTGCGCTTGGGGAAGGGAATGCACTTCACCTTCTCCTTCGCCTGAAGGCAACCCGCGCCCGCCCAGCAGGCCCGCCCCCCTGAGCGCGCCTTCGCCGAGCCGCGGGGCCAGCGGGCCCGTGGCTTCGAAGGAGGCGCGCCCAAGATGGAGCCGCCGATTGGACAATCGAGGAAGGGCCTTAGCCTCTTTGCTGAGCTTGGCCTTGTACCCCGTTGGGTCGTTGTCCTCCAGAATGAGGAAAGACCGCCACTTCGCGTTGGCCTTGCGCAGCGCCGGGGCCAAGGCCTC